GAGTATCCGTGGAAGGAGCGCGATGGGCAGTTGATGCAAAAGCCATACAGGATGACATGTCCAGCCTTTTAAGCGATATACTTATCGCAGCGGGTACGCTGATCTCCAAAACGCTCGACTTACATATGTCCGCAGCCTATAACTTGCTTGAGCAGCACGTAAAACGATATCATGCGTGTTGGGAGACCACGCGCAATTGAACCATATTCCAGGCTATCTTCAATCCCCGGCAGTGTTGACGGCTGTCTATGTTCAGGTATGCTTGTTTATGCTGGGTCATTTACTCGAGAGTATCGTGAAGAGCTGAGTCGCCTGTGGCTGAGCGCTTGCCTCGAAGAAGGATTAAATACCCGAGGAGACTTTTCCCTGGCTCGAACTTTGTCAACACCGTCTGAGATAAGGCAGTGGTCTCTCGAAGGATTGCCGTCCGATCTAGCTTCAATTGAAAACGCTATTTTGGTCTGCAACTCTCCAAAACCCCCTTTAATTATTGACCCTGAGGACCAGGGTACTCGCTGGTTCAGAAAGCGTCACTTCAAAAGGGATTTCATGGAACTTTCATCCAGTGACGCCGATGTTCTGCAATCCCTATCTGAAGCAGTCACTGCTGGGATGATTGTTCTTGNCTTTCATCCAGTGACGCCGATGTTCTGCAATCCCTATCTGAAGCAGTCACTGCTGGGATGATTGTTCTTGTCACTCTTTCCGAGCCGGCGCTAGACCCAGCACTAGGAGCCCTAACAAATACAGTGGTACGGTGTGGTAGACATCCGTTGGGTGCTGAGCTATCAGCCTGATAAGGTGGTAGAGGTAAACAAACCTTAGACTGCTCGTTGAGCACGCCAACAGCCTAAACTGCTGTGCTGGAAACTCCATTGTGTTTTCTGCCCTACAGAGGATTAAGCCAGCAGGACGGACAGTTGTTCACCTTGGTGACTACACCGCCCTCTGGAGCCCGCATTTCAGAATGGTATTAGCAACAAAATTGTATCCCTCAGAATTAGCACCCGAGCTGCACAATCAATTAAGCGTCATAAACTTCCGGGTTACGCCCGCAAGCCTTGAAGAGCAGTTGCTAAACCAGATCATTCTCCACGAGGCGCCATATCTGGAAGAACAGCGTAGCGTGCTGGTTGTGAACATTGCAAAGGACCTTGAGCTTAAGGCCGCAATCCAGGAAAAAATTCTTTCGGTAATACAAGAAGCAGCAGTTTTCCTACACACCATAGGCGACTGCCACCCATCCACTAGACAGTTTCATTCCTAGCTTGTACTTGGATTGTATGTATATGCCAGAATAGTTAGTTTTGCAGCGCTAAACCTCCTCAGAAGCCCATCTGTGTGGATATTCGTGTGTTTTGCGTGCAAAGCTCCTGGCCAACGCCGAAGGTGACATACTTGCGGATGACACCTTCTTGGATATTCTGAATGACTCACGCTTAACATATGAGGCGATTGAAAGACGCATGGAAGAAGCTTCTGCCACATCTGACAGGCTTGAGGAGACCAGGAAACTGTACAAGCCCCTGTCCCATCGAGGCTCACTGCTGTATCTTGCCTTGCGAAATATGTCCAACCTCCATCCATTCTACCTGTGGTCCCTTGAGGCCTTCAAAGCGCGGCTTCAGCTGACCTTGTCGAGCTGCCAAGACACTGGCGACACCCGCGGAGAAACACTCAGGGATTCGCTTACTTGGGAGGTGTATTGCAACACTTGCAGGGGACTACTAGAGCCGCATAGGCTCGTCCTCGCATTTATGATCGCAACAGCCCTCGACGCTGAAGCCGAAAATGTTCCGCCGAAAATGCTTGAGTTCCTTTTGAGAGGGGCAACAGATGAAAACGCAGATCCTGTAAATGTCTCTCAGGTGAGATTAGCCAGGTGTGAGATTCTAAATGCTTGATTAGTCCTGGTATTATAGTATATAGCGCAGCCGCGTGACCCGAAGTAGGCAGCGACTAATGCTCTCCTGTAGCATGCAGTATTNGAAGTTTGGAGCAATATTGTTTATTTAGATGCGAGTGTTGGCGGTTGCTTTCGTGGGTTCGCCCAAGCAGTGGCAGATGAGCGTGGTGAATGGAGAAACGTAATCGAGAGCGGGGAACAACTTCCACCGAAGCTGCCCCAAATTGGAGGAGTAGATCTAGGGGGTTTTGCTTCTCTAGTTGCTGTCAAGGCCATAAGGTTTGCTAACAGCGTATTTGAGAGCACAGCAAACATACATTTGAGCTGCTTTGAGATGTTCGGCATGCTGGCCGTGTTGATGATGAACAGACTTCCGATAACCACGTGGTGGAATCTTATTTGTTTGTTCAGGGGAAGCGAGCTCCATTCTGGCTGTCGAGCCTACGTCGAAAGCGTATTGGGAACGCGGTTTACTTGCCCACCCCAGCTGGAGTTATCGAAGGCCCTGGATGAATCAACACCATTAACACCGTTAATATTCATCCTATCTCCTGGAAGTGACCCAATTGGGTCAATAAAGCTTCTATCGGCTCGCGTATCGCTGCCTGAAGACCAGCTGCACTTTCTTTCGCTCGGCCAGGGCCAGATTAAGGCAGCCGAAAAAGTATTGCAGGAAGCCAGGTAGGCTTCGTTTCCGATAGCAAAGGCGCGAAAGGAATGTGGGGTCTTAAGAAACTCAAATTGCAATACTTGGCAGGTTTAGCTACACTCGCCGAACATACCCAGCTAGAAAATTCATGCAATTGGCGCTTTTAACGTGCTTTTGTGATACTTAGGGAGCACGGCCATTGGGTTTGCCTGCAAAATTGCCATCTGTCAGAGACATTCATGCCGTTTCTTCAGCAGCTGTATGAGCGCTTCCAACAGGAAAAAGTCCACCCACGGTTCCGCCTATTCATGACATCACAGCCTACGAACATCCTTCCAACCAGCGTACTCAAGCAAAGCATCAAAATCATCACTGAACCTCCAACTGTATGCTCACTCTGATTGCTGCAGACCGCATAACTGAGTTTTCGATGGTGCAGTCTCTTAACGGTTTAAGCCGAGCACTCAGCGCCACAGTCTTGCAGTCTGACATTGTAACCTACAACCCTTAATGCTATTTACAGTGGTTAACTGATACTCGTGCTCGCTGGCAAGTGAATGCAGGGTCTTCGAGATAATATCTTGCAAACCTTCAGCGACCTAGAAAACCGAGGGGCTGAGGACATAGCAGAGTGTCCCAACTACAAGCGTTGGCTTTTCTCACTCGCACTTTTCCACTCCATTATTTCGGAACGAAGAAAATTTGGAGCTCTCGGATGGAACAAGGCCTACGAATGGACAGTTTTCGACTTCCGAGTGCGACACAGCAGAACAACTGCACCGGATATTTAGTTCACCTTACAACAAATCTGTGTTACTGGAAGTAAGGAGAGATGCTTCTCTCCTGACAGCGCCAAAACCATATTGGTTAAGAACCAAGGTTTATCTGGTCCTATGGTGCCCCAGGTTTCCCAGCAAAGTCTGTTCGAGGCTGCATCTGGCGACGAAGAAAATCTGTCGTGGGATAGAATTCTCTTTTTGACAGCTGATATCCATTACGGAGGCCGTGTCACGGATCAAATGGACCAAAGGCTGCTCACCTCACTATTGAAGCGGTGCTTTGCTGCAACCGAGCTTGACTCCCCGGCAGCAGACCCAGTGTTGAAAGGATATGTCCTTCCTTCAGACTACAGTTACGAAGATATAACAGAATTCGCCATGTGTTTGCCGGTTGATGCGGCCCCCGAGATTCTGGGCCTCGACTCTGGAGCTGCGGTGGTGTACGTCAGTTATGATGTTAGAGAGTGGCATAAAACTGGCGGTCTTTACATATTTTCAGCTTCTATTCATCATCGCTCTCTTCCTCCGATCCACACGGCAGTCTGACGTGCTTCTGTGTCTCAGGTACAAGGAGATGCAGAGCAGCCGGCTCCTGGACTACCTTGTCAGCGCTCACAGGGAAATGCAGACGCACGCGAGAGGCAATAAAGAAGAAAGCCTTATGGGTATGATTTCAGATCTACTAAGCAAAGTGCCTGAGGACATTCCCCACGAAACGGCTAGCAGGGAGGTGTTCCAGCTACACGAAAACTCACAAACAGGACTATGTGAGCTAACTCCGCTGAGTAACTTCCTTAAAGGAGAGCTTTGCAGTTACAATGCGCTCCTCGCGTTCATCCGAATGTCTCTCACCCAACTTATCGAGGTGCGTTCGCCTAAAGCAGGCCAGTTGACCACGATTGAACCAGGATAGTTACATGGCACCATTTCGCGTGGCACAGTGCAAAATAAACGAATTCAGTATGAAAAAGAGTTGCTGCATCTCTCGTGTCGCTTGCACACTTACGCTGGATGGAATAGTTAGCAGGTATATGCAAAAATGTGGCGTGATTGAAGGCACTCCGGGGCTGGTCTGTAATGACTGAGGATTTGGATAACCTCAGTAAGGACTTATACTTCCAGAAGGTCCCCGCAGCGTGGATTTCTGTATCCTACCCCTCAAAGCTCAGCCTTGGAGCATGGCTCCATGATCTTGGGACGCGCATCAGTAGCGCGAGGCACTGGGCACAAAACGGCCCACCTGAAGTCTTCAACATAGCAACATTTTACCATCCTCAGAGCTTTTTCAAGGCAGCATTGCGGGTCGTCGCCCGTGCTTTGAAGGTACAAACTTGGGAGATTAAGGCGTATAATACTCGAGAAAGATCATCTGTCACATGTTCACTTTGTTTCCGTAACCCCAGAATTACGCTAGCTGACCAAGCAGTCACCAACATCCGTCGAGTCTGTAGGTAGCTACGCACCTTCATGGGCCTGATATATCACTGCCTACAGCCCCACCTGATCAGAAATAGAAGAATGCCTAGCATTTTTGGGCCGTTTCAGGAGCCCCCGTCCAGCCTCTCATTGTCTGCGGAGTTTGCTGATCTCGAAAACGAGACTGAGAACGAAACTGGCCCACAATATCCTGCAGATGTGGGAATTTCCATCACAGGCGTTTTCCTCCAGGTAAGCAAAGTCTCCAATGCTTAGCTTCTCAACTCTGCTAAAGACGAACACCACAGTAATCTCCGATTCTCGATATCAGTGCCCGTTCATCCAGTAACACCAGCAGTTTTTGTGTACAGTTACCTCTAATTCACAAAAAAGTGTGCACTTTGCCCCTGCAGGGGGCTGCTTGGTCCGCCGAGGATAGATTGCTTCGTGACGCGAACCCACGTGAAATGTGCCAGCAAATGCCGCCAATTCGCTTGGTCCCCCAATTATCCCATGTGAAAGAAGAAAAGAGATACAAGTTAGCATAGCTCAAATGAAACAGTTGCACCCGTTGTTCGTCCCTGATTGCAACGCTCCAGTTTGTGGCAATTGTTGTTCAATTAGACTGCAGTGCGCTTCTTCTGGTGCGGAAAACAGGTGCCCGGTATACAGAACGGCTGACAGGGCAGCCTGCGCGGAGGTTGTCACCTTCTTGGATCTCCCAACAGGTTTGGCACCAACGAGCATCTTAATCTTAGCGCATCTTGAAAGCCATGACCCGCTCCTTATTCAACGTTGTTAACAATTTGTAGCAGTTACATGCATTCCCAGCTGTCTCTATTTGCACCTTTGCAGATGACGACCCCGAAAAATGGGTTCAACGCAGTGTTGCACTGCTCTGTGAGACAGGGCAGTGCTACGCTGCTCGGAATCACGAGCAACCGTAGGATCTGTTATGC